ATTTTTCACATCAAAACGAATTATAGTAATTGAAAATGAAATAAAAAAGAATAGAAAAATAAATCAATGAGAAAATATGAAGAACTCGTTCATCTGCAATGAATGAAATGGTGAATATCAAAGTGAAATGTTTCATTATTTATTTGTATTTGTTTTAATATCTGTTTAATTTGTTGTTTAATTCATTTCATTTTCATCAATGTTCAATTGAATTTTATTTCATTTTACTTGTTATTTTCATTTTCTATACATTTATTATCATCTCTACTCTTATCTTCTTCTTTCTCTCATATTTCTTTTTTTTCTATATTATTTTACATTCAATTATCATTTAACATTGTTCATTATTAACATTATCATTATTTCTTTTGTATTCTTCATTTATTGTATTTCTTCATTCTTCATTTATTCTCATTTAATTAGTTAGTTATATTCATTATTTATGATGTTATTTATATCTTATTTTCATTTTACATTACGTCATTTCTCTTCAAATTCTATTAATGAATGAAATTGTATTATCATTACACAATGAAATTCAATGATTTAATATAAATACTATTTCATTCATTTTATCATTTACTATGTATACTTTCATTGATATTATTTTAGTTATTTTCTCTTTTGACTCACTCTCTTTCCATCTTTCAGATACTTAATTTCTCTTTTTAATGTTTCAAAACATCAATTTGAATTTAAATAACAAAATATAAATAAAAATGAAAGAAATAAAAATAGAGAAAGAATATTCCAAAATAGAACTAAAAAATATACAAAAAAAGAGGAAAAATAAATTTAAAAAAGATAGAAATAAATAACAAAAATAAATAAAGTGTAGTTTATAATAAATAAGTATCTACAACTAACAATACTAACTATGGTTTAGTTGTAATTCATAAAAACTAAAAAGAAGTGAGTTATTTATACAATACCATACCAATAAAATTAAATTAAATTAAAATTTAAAATAAAGAAATTATAAATGCCAAACAAAAAGAATATCAAAAAAGAACTTAAATTAAATACTAAAACAACTATTTTTAAAGATGCAAATACTTTATAGTTATTTAATTTCTCTTATAATAGGAACATTAACATTATGCCTTGGAGTTTATCAATTAGTTCAATGTGACTTTTCTATAACAACAGGATATGGAATTGCACGTATATTATTGTCTTTGTCTTTATGTTTTATTGGACTTTTTATTGGACTTTCTCAATTATTTATTAGTATATTACCTATAAAAAAAAGATGGAAAATGATTCCATTAGAAACAGATTATTGTGGACCAATAATTAAAGACAAAATTGATGCAAATTATGCTTATCAATTATATTCATTTTTTAAAGAAGGAAATGGTAAAGGATTATTATGTAAAAGAGATGTTTTTAGGATTGTTGAAGAAGCTAATGTATTATTACAAAATAAAGATGGATTAGTTAAAGTAACAATTGAACCAAATGAACATATTACAGTTGTTGGTGATCTTCATGGACAATTTTATGATTTATGTAATTTATTTCAACAAAATGGACTTCCATCTGCAACAAATAAATATATATTTAATGGAGATTTAGTTGATCGAGGAGTATTTGGTATTGAAATTGTATTAACTCTTTATAGTTTTTTAATAGCTTTTCCTCAATCACTCTTTATTAACAGAGGAAATCATGAAACTTATGATGTTAATTATTCTTATGGATTTTTAACTGAAGTACAAAGTAAATACGATCAAGAAACATTTATAGAAGTAGCTGGATCACTTCGTTGGTTACCTTATTGTCATCTTATTAATAATTCTGTTTTTATTGTTCATGGAGGATTACCTCCAACACCTTTGGAGATTGACAAAATTAATCAATTACAACGTGGAGATGATCCTGAAGATGGTTCTATTGAATCAGAATTATTATGGAATGACCCACAAGCAGCAAAAGGAAATAGTCCAAGTTACAGAGGTATTGGACATGTTTTTGGTCCAGATGTTACACAAGAATTTCTTAACTTAAACCATCTTGACTTAATTATTAGAAGTCATGAAATGAAAATGAATGGATATGAATGGAATATTGAAAATAAATTAATGACAATATTTTCTGCTCCAAATTATTGTGGAACAGTTGGAAATAAAGGTGCATATGTTCTTTTATCTTTTGATGAAAACACTAAACCAATTACAAAAATTATTCAATTTGATTCAGTAATTGCTCCACATATTACTTTATCAAAAGAACCTAAACTTCATGAATTTGAAGATATTGAAATTGATGTTGAAACTGTCTGGAATAATGTTGCCCCATTATTAGCTTGTGCTTTTTCCCTTTTTGCAATTATTAATGAATTATAATTAAATGAAATTATCATTTTTTATTATTACTTATTATATTATTTAGGATTTAATTTTACCTTTTTAATACAATTTAAAACATTTATTTATTTTTTTCTTCGTTTTAATGTTTGTAACTTATTATCTTAATCATTAAAACCATATTAATATTAAAAGGTCAATTATTAGATATACCAACAATTGGATTTTCTAAATCATAATAATATTAAAATATATTAAAATAATTTAATCTGTTTATTATTAAATTATTAGTAGTATAATATTTTAGTATATTTATTATATTACTATGGAAATTATTTACATTTATGATAATTTAATATAATGTCTTCTAATAGGAAGAAAATTTTTTATTTTTTTTATAATACAATAAATGTCAAGAATGAAAATAAGTTTTTGTTTTACTTCTTCTCCTAAGACTATTGAACCATCGTTAACTTTTTAATTTTTAGAATGAATCCAAAAATTTTTGAAAAAAATAATATAAGACTTGATTTAAATAACAATATCACAAATGTCATTACATTCATTTGGTGAACAAACGAAGTATAATGTAATTAAAAAGAAATAGTAAATTATTTTTATAAAACAGTGGTATATCAAAATAATTATAATAAGAATAAAATTTGATAAAGAAGTGTAACAAATTAAAGAAATAAGAGTGTCATTTCTCATATCAAAAAAAAAATTAAAAAAAGTACAAATAAATTTTATAATTAGATTTTAAAAAAGATGTATGTTCTGTTTAATATCTTTTTTTTTCTTATGATGAAATATTTACATCATAGTTGCTTAATTTTCTAAATCTATCTTCATTAAACCCATGCTACTGTTTATTATATGAAAAAAAGAAGTAATGGAGAGGAGTCTCATCAAATTTGATACTAAAAAATATCTCTGTATTGCGTTTGCATGTTGTGTTGGAATGAAGTGTGTTCTTTCTTTTCCAAGAAAAAAGACGAGAAATGTGACTACTTTCAATATTGATTCGTTGTGTTATCTTCAAACAGATTACATCACTCAATCAAATAATTCGTTTCGTGATGAAAGAACAATGAGAGGAAGAACAAAAAGAAGAAAAGTTGAAAAAGAAGCTTTAAAAAGCTCTAAAGACAAAATTGATAGTATTCTTGTTGAAAAAAATATTAAAAAAGATTCAAAAACTTTTCTCTCATTCTTTAATAAAACCCAAAGTCAATATTTATGTATTCAGTTAATCAATTTACTAGAAAAGAAAAAAGAAAATCAAAGCAATGAAAATCAAATTACTCTCACTCCAGGTGAAGATGATGTAAAACAATTAGTAAAAGGTGTTATAGAATCTATTAACCCAACTTCTTCCTCTTCTTTTTTTAACAAAGAATTGCTCTTGAAATTCTTACAATGATAATTAAATAAGCAGCTTATTCTTTTTTTTTTGTTGATTAATTTTAATATGCCTTATTCTTTGATAATATCCAACACTTAAAACAACAAAATAATTTTTTTTAATTTCATTCTTTTTTTATCTGTAAAACCCAAAGACTATTTTTTTCATAAACTTTCATCTTAAACAACATTAAAAGAGGTAGAATCGAGTATTGTTACTCTAAGAAAAATTATATGAAAAATTTTTACATAATATTATAAATAGGATGTTGTGCTAATTATTCTATAAATTAAGATAATCTTATGATATTAAAAGAAATATAATTATAATCAATAAATAAAATAAAAGAAGTTATAATTATCCTTTAAACTACTCATTATATCTATTACCATAAAAGAGACCTTAGTTACAATACAATTATTATTTACAAAAAAAAACATCATTAACAAAATTTGTATGATATGATGAAAGTTGAATAAAAAGAATGATTGAAACTGTGTTATAAAAGAAAATGCTAACATAACATATTTAAATGATTATTATTAATTAATACAAAAAGAAGATATTCAATGTTTATTTAAAACAATAAAATATTTCTGAATTATCTTTATATACAAAAATTAAAATATCATAAAGAAAAGATTTGTAGTGAATTCCTCTTTTAAAAAACGCTAACTAAAAATGAAAAACTAAAATTAATTATCGCTTGATAATGATGAAGATGAATCTTGTACAGCAGTTGTCTTCTGTATTAATTGATTAGAAGAAGGATTTTCATCACAATCAATAACAAGAGCATATTTAATATCTAATCCCCATTTCTCAATTTCTTTTAAAACATCAATAAATGTTGGTCTATCTTCAGGGTTTTGACTCCAACAATCCTGAGTCAACTGCCAATAATTTTCAGGAATTCCATCAGGTTTAGGAAGTCTTTTTCCTTCAATAACAAATTGGGGGATTTTCCAAGGTTGATCAAATACATTTTCATCAGAATATCCTCCTTTTTCAATATAAGTTTCATATAATACAATACCATAAGCATAAACATCAATAGGATATGAATAATCAAAGTTTTGAAGACATTCAGGTGCCATATAAGTAGGAGTACCAATTCCTTGAGTAAGTTCTTTATTTAATCTATTTCTTTCAGAAATATTTCTACAAGTACCAAAATCAGTTAATTTACCACAAACATCACTGTGTGGATTTAATGAATAAATTAACACATTTTCTCCTTTAACATCTCTATGAATGATTTGGTTTTGATGAAGGAATTGTAATGCTATTGCAAGATCATCTAATATTTTTATTTTTAATTCAAATGATAATTCATGTTTACCCCAAATCTTACTTAATGATCCATATTCTGCAAATTCTGTAACAATAGCAATCTCTCCTTCAGTATATACTGCCCCAATAAATTCTACAACACATTTATGTCTTAATTGAGTTAACATAGAAACTTCATGACTAAATTCTTTTTCTTGTTCTTGAGTCATATTTCTTGATTTCATTTTTTTAATAGCAACTTCTCTTCCTCTATAAGTTCCTCTAAACACCATACCAAAAGCACCTTCACCAATTGGTGGCATTTGTGGAGTTAAATCAGTATGGTCAAGTTTTAACGAAAGATCAGATTCAATAATCAAATTAATTTTTGCTGTTTCTTTATTTTGATCATCAACATCCATAGCAATAATACCAATTTCATCACTAACAGAAGCAGTACATAACATTTTAATTTTAAATTTTAATTCCATTGCTTCACCAGATTTTAAAGTATATCTTGGAGGTTCTACTTTTAAATCATACCTATGAGATGGAGTAGCAAGGACTTCAAAGAAATAAGCTTTTTTTGTAGTATTAGCAATTTGAATATTTTGTTCATATTCTTTATCTACAAGTGCTTTATTTTTATCTAACCCAAAGTTTAATTCCCAGGTTTGAGTTTTTAAAGGGAAGTTTTTATTATCTGCTGTTAATAAACTTAACTCTAAATCAGAAGTAACTTTAAATGGTTTAATACTTTTAGTAGTATTTTTTTTATGAATACTTTTCCACGAGACAATAACAATAATAATAATAAGTATTGTTACAATAATAATAATTATTACTACTACTACTGGAATTATTATATTTAAATTATTCTTTGAACACATTCCATTGTCTTTAGGACTATATCCTTTTTCACATTTTTTACATCCATTTTTATCACATGATAAACAATGTTCTATAGTTTGACATTCTATACAATATTTTGTACTATTTGGATAATGTTGTTCATCATCACATTCTTTACATCCAGGTGCTTCTAAATCAGAATACCAAATACAATTTTTACAATTAAGTTCAATTGGACATTCTGTACAATTAATTTGACTAGTATTTACTGCATAATATCCTTTATTACAATTTCCAGCACATCCTGTCATTGTTGGTGAACATGTCATATTAATTTCACTAAAAGGTGAACAAAATGATCCATTATTTCCTCTATAATAATATGGTGCACAATTTGTACATGAATTTGATGATTCACATGAACCACAACTTTCATCACAATGAATACATTGCATATCTAATCCAATAAAATAATTTTGTTTACATTCAATACAATATCCCATTTGTGCTTTTTCACATGTATCATCCATATCTTCACATGTAAATGTTCCATCTGCAGTTGGTTTTAACATTTTATTTGCAACACATGCTGTGCAATGATCTGCTTCTTTATCACATAATGTACAATTCTCTGAACATGAATGACAAGTTTTTTGTCCTTCAGGAATATATAATCCAGTATGAACTAAATCATTTTTACATTCTTTACATCCTGATTGATCATATTTACTACAATTATCTGCAACTTTTTTACAATTATCTCCATCAAAATAATATCCAATTTTACATGATAAACATGTTTTTGAATCTGTAATACATGTACTACATGATGTATCACATGACTCACACATTAAATCTGAATTAAGAAAATATCCATCAACACATCTTTGACATCCATATATTTCACTTCCTACTTCACAATTAATTGATTTTAGTGTAATACATTGTCCATTGTATGGTATAAATCCTGTTAAACATTTAAAACATTTTTCTTGATTCTTTTCATCAATAAAACATTCATCACAATTTTCTATAGTACATGCTACACATCCACCTCCATTTAAACGATATTTTTTATCACATTTCTCACAATGATCATCTTTTATACTACTACTATCACAATGATCAATTTCAAGACAATTATATGTTCCATTTAAATAATGTTTATCAGTACATTGGAAACAATTATCTGATTCTGTACATAATGAACAAAATGATGAACATTTTGTACATGCTTTTTGTTCTACTGAAAAATAATATCCCGACTTACATTTACCACATTCATGTGCATCATCTCCAGTACATTGTGTACATCTTTTTTGGTCTATTGATAAGAAATACGTTGCATTACATTTATAACAAACTAAATCATTACATAACTCACAATTTTCAGTACATCTAATACAACTATTATCTTTTAAATAATATCCATCATAACACTTTACACAATATCCATCAACTATTGTTTCACAATTTGAATCTGTTGTTTGAGAGACACAAACTATTTTAGGAACTCCTTCTGTTGAAGGTAAAACACTTAATGTAAATCCACTTTTACACTCAATACATCTTCCTTCACTAAATTCTTTAGCACAATTTTCAACACTACCATAACAAATAGAAAGAAAAATAATCTCAATGATTAATAATTTCCCTTTCATCTTATTTTTCGTTTTAGTAACTCATTTTTTAAGTTCTTCTTTTTTGAATTATCTTCTCTTGAATTTTCACCTTCATTTCTTATATTACATTAATAATTCTTTTTGTTATTTTTTATTATTTTTTCTTTTTTATTTTTTAGTATCTTTTTCTTTTAAACTATTAGTATAGTTTAAATACTATAATATATAAATTAAAATAAAAACTTATTTATGACTCAATATTCGTTTAATACTCCTTTCTGTTTTTTCTTCATTCATACCATAACATTGTGCGATATAATTTTAATGAACTTAATGTTTCATCTAATTTATCGTTAATTCCTTTGGGATTTGTTCTTTGTTTTAATACACCACAATAAACTTTTTTTCCTTCTTGTTCAATTGTCCATTTAATATGACCAATTAATTCCCTAACTGTAGTGTTTTCATTTCCATTAAACTGTATTGTTGAGTATTTTGTTTTAATTTTTACAATATATCCTGCTTTACTAAGTTCTTTTGGATATTCTTTACTTTCAATGCCATCATCGTTAGTCTCTTTTGGCTGTTCTGTTTCAACTAATTTATGTCCTTTTGGTTGTTCTTTTTCTTCTTGAAATTCAAATCCACAATTTGCTTCTTTTGTCTTTGACACTTTAAGTAATAGTTGTATTAACTTTTCTTGAATTTCTAAACTACTGTCTTTAGGTTGTATGTCTAAAGTAGAGATATTTGATTTTCTATTTTTATTGGATATATCTTGATATAGTCTAGGACTTCCATGTTTTTCATAGCTTTTATACTCTCCTGAAGGTATTTTTTTTGGTTTCAATACATTAAGTTTGTTATCTTGAATTGTTTCATTGGTACTTTGATGATTTATTTCTTTTTCATTATTATTATCTTTATTTATTTTGATTTGTTCTTGATGTAATTCATTTGAACCTTGCAAAAGTTCATGACTAAGTTCTTTTGTTTCTTTGTTATCTTCTTTAGATAAACTAGGTGTATTATCTTTAACTTGTTGTTTAGCTTTACAGTTCAAATTTTCTTTCTTTTCAATTAATTCTTTCTTTTCAATACATCCTTTTCTTTCATTTTCGTTTTGATTTTCTTTCTTCATTTGGTCATTATCTTCTTTTATACTCTTCTTTAATTCTATACAATCCTTAGAAAGTGCGTTTAACAAATCAATTTTAAAATTATTCTTTTCTTTTGAATATATTTCATTTACTGTTATTTCTTCCTTACTTTCATTTAACTTCATATTTGGAGGTGGTAAATCAAATGAATCACAAAAATCAAATAAGTTATACAATGAGTAGAAGTTTGATTCTTCTAATGAATTTAATTGGTACAAAAATCCTTTATAGATTGAGTTATAGAATTTGATAAAATAAATGTATTGATTTTCAATTGAAACATTAGAAAAAAGTGCTAAACTATTGAACGAAATACTTTTTTTCTTTGTGAGAAGATAGTCTTGACTCTTTCCATGACAATAATTGTTGCATTTTGTTAATTGTGCCAACTCAAAAAATGCGTCTGATAATCCTTTAAAAACATACATCACAACACATAAATCAAGTCCACATTGTTCACATATATTACAAAGATTTGATAGTAAACTTTTTCTAAAATCAATACCAACTAATCTGTTTTGAAATAAAAAGACCATATCATAGATTTGATTACCTATTTGATGTTTGTATCCACATGGACATTGTCCTTCAATTTTAATTATTGTAGAAGCAATCTGAGGATCATTATTTTCAAAACGAAAGGATTGAGTTGGGGGTTCAAAAACTCTTGATTCACATGAAGATATAAAGCTTTGAAAGATTTTTTTTATAATAACATGATCTGTAAGAAATCCAACAAAATTATTTTGTTCAGTGAAAAGATATGATAAAATGAATGGACAAGTCTTTTCAGGAAACCATTTCTTTTGTTCTTTTATGAAATTAATTGAAAAGTCATAAGATGTTCCAGTTGTACAAAAAATTTCCCATTTTGTTGTATTTAATGAAAGTAGAATTAATTCATTACCATTTTTATTAATTGTATACATTTCAGCAGGTCCATTTCTATCATCATGTATTGATCTTCCACATGGACATCTTACAGACACTAACTTTCTTAATGGAATATAATCTTCCATTTATTCTTTTTTATTATCAACAAATTTTTAAGTTCTAACAGATAAGTCAATTTTATACCTCATCAATATTTAATTTGTTATATATCACATTATTCAACTATTTTATGAATATCAACAAAATATTAAGATTTTTATAATTTGAGATTAAAATAAAAGAGAAAAAGAAAGAAAAATGAACTTAAAGGAATAAATGAAAAGGTTTGTTCAACAAAGCCGACCATTTTATTCTGAGAAGATTGAAGAGGAAGAATTATTTTGGAAACGATATGAAAGTGGATTTCTTGAAATTAGAAAATGTTTAGAAGTAATAATATTTCATTTAAATTCTATCAAATCTCTTAATCTCCCTCGAATGACTTTTCATTGTAAAAAAGATAAAGGATACATTGATGAATATCAGAGATGTTTAAATGAAACTCTTAATAACATTCAAATTTTCTCTGATTCACTTCAATCAATTATTATCAAAACTTCAAATATGTCTAGTCAATTTAATGCACTTAGAAAAGAGTTAAAAGAAGATAAAAAGAATTATAATCACCAATTAGGAATATTGTATATTTATCATATTAAATGTAACATAGAAGGTTTTAAAGTCATGAAACTAATCTCTGAAGCAAGTTTTAATTTATTTAAAAATGGAGGGATGGTATGGGATAATATAAATATTAATAAACTTAAACAATGTAGTGAACGAGAAATTATACAATATAATATGGTCAAAGACGAACATTTTATTGAATATTATGGAAATTCGTTAGATGTAATTCTTCAACAAGAAAAAAGAACAAGTAAACAATTACCAAAAATGATAGAAATAATGATACTTCTTATTCTTGAAAATGGAATGGATTTTAAAGGAATCTTTAGATTCTCTCCTTTTGCTAATTTAAAAGAAATAGAAGAAGGGACAAGAAGAATATCAGTAACTGATATTTCTGAATATAGTGTTGATATTATTGCATGTTTATTAAAATGTTTTCTGCAAAAAATGCCAATACATATTATTGATACTATGAAATCATTAGAAATGATTTCTATTTTCTTAAAGAATAAAACAGAACCTACTGAATTGAAAAGAGAATTATATAAGAAAATAATATTTACTCTTCCTGATGCAAATATTACTTTATTAATGAATTTGTGTTATTTGTGTAATGAAATTAATAAAAAGAAAGAATTGAATGGAATGAGTTCAAAAAATTTAGGTGTTGTTCTTGCTCCAAGTATTTTAACATTACCTGATCCAGAGTTTCTTGCTAATTCAAATATTGATCCAAATACTGGAAAAGAAGTTGGATATGGAATTGATATTTTAACATTTCTTATTGATGAATATCCAATGATATTTAAAGAAGAATTAGAAAAGCATGAAAGGGAATTAGTTACCATTGGTAGTATTCAAATACAAAGAAGTCAAAGTCCTAGTTTATTTTTTAAGAATGAAAAAAATCATAAAAAGAAATTAAGTGATAACGTAATCCCGAATACTGAACAGGTAGAAATTAAAGAAATTCATGACAGTCAGAATGAAAAGACAGATAAAATCAGTGATGAGTTACCAGTTATTACAACAGTTACATCAATTAATTTTGGGAAGTTTCAAAGAAATAATACTATTACAAAAATAGATAACCCAAATGGAAAATTTGGTACATTTACTCCTGGTTTAGATTCATCTTCTCCATGTATTTCTTCAAAAGAAAAAAGAATTATTTTAAGAAGTGATCGTGCACATGAATGTATTAAAGTGTTAGACCAAATAAAGCAAGAAAATACATTTGATAATAATTTTTTTGAACAAATTGATGAAAATGGAGAAAACCATGATAGCATTAAAACAAGAAGTTCATTTACAATAAAAAGGTCAAAATATTTTAATCCAATAACAAATAAATTAAGTTCAAGTGTAATTTCATTAAAACCAAACGAAAATTCTAGTGAAGATGAAACTAAATTAAAAGATACATCAGAACAAATTCAAAGTAATAACATATCAGACGTTTAATATCTTTTCTTTTAATTCTAATTTATACTGTTTTTAACTTCTGTATATCTTAAATATAAAATTCTTTATATTTTTTTATTTAATTATATAGGAATTATAAACTTAATCAAAGATTATACCATCTTTGATATCACCAAATTTCATTATTTTATCTACCACAACTTGTAACCATTACCTTAGAAAAGGGTTGGTGGCTAGTTCTGGAGGTTTTCGTTATAGTAATAATTCATTTATATAAAAGTTTAAAAATGGAATATGACGTGGATTATATAGTTTCTTTAATAATAATTATTATTATATAAATAATTATTTTATAAAAAAGAATAAAAATATTGAGAACTAAGTAATTTGTAAAATACATAGTAATTAGAATCAATTAGTATTATTATTATTATTATTATTATTTTTTTTTTTAATCAAATCAAAGTTTTTATTCAGGTAGTTAAATATAATTTTATTAATTTATCAACAAAAAGGGTTTATTATTTTTTAGAAATTTTTAATGTTTATTTTTTGTTTTTGAATAATTAATTTTATTAAAGTACTTTTTATAGAAATTATCTTATTTGTCTAAAAAAATACTTTAATAAACTGTTATTACTCTGTTAATTGAAATAAAGTATTATAAGATAAATATATTTTTAAATAATAAAATCAATTAATTAAGTATTAATAGAAATAGATTCTATTCTTCCTGGCTCAGGGGAGACTAATCCCGTCCCTTCGTCTTCTTCTTCTAGTAGCTCTACGGAGTATGTTTGATTGTGATCTCCGCAGTATTCCATGACATCCATCATGTTTTTAATCACAAGGTTTTTTACTTCTTTTTCGATGTCAATGTCAATTTTTAAT